ATAATTATTAATATTTAAAATATACTAATTAAATAGTAAATTTCACCTATGATTTATGAAATAGGATCTTTAAATCTATTAATTTGTGTAATTTCCACTTTTTAAAAAACCAACAGCCTAATAGGAGGCCCAAAATAAAAAAAATAAAAAAATAACCTATGGTTGTCTGTCTTCTTCCCCAAATCCCGCCTCCATGGTTTCAATTTGTGACTTCTTTGCAACTATGAAAGCTTCTCCCTTGGCGCCCGGCGGCAAGTGAAACTATTGATGGATCCAGCATGGGAAGCTGCATCCCCTCACCGGGTGCTGGATCCGTCGCTGGTCGTATCTATCCTAATATCATGTTATGTTGACATATCTTCAGAAAAATTAGTACAATATAAAGTGCAATAAAACAAATAATAGGGATGGTAATGGGGCAAATTCAAGTCGGGGCTGGGCTGTACCCCCCCCCCCCCCCTTATAAAATTTTTCCGCCCCCCCCCCCCCCCCTGTTACACATTTAAGGTCGAATAGGGCGGGGCGGGTTTGGGCCCTTGTCTCGTTTACATACTTGTTTAGTCATTTTTTTTTTGATAATTAATGTTATTGCTTCCATTCATTAAAGTAAGACAATAATATAGTTATTAAATTTTTTAATTAATTCGTTTATTTTTAAAAGTTAAATAATTTGAATTTTTTAGTAAATTATGACTTTTATTGTTTATCATATTTTTTTAGATAATTTTAGCTTATATCTTTTATTGGAATTAATGAAATTTTGTGAAGTTTCCTTTTAAAATATTGAATTCTTAAAAAATAAAAAAAGTTAAACATAGCGAAATCCCCCGTCCCGTACCCGACTCAAATATCGGATTAAGCGGGTAATTCCTGCTTGGTTCGGGGTGGGACCTCACAGATATCGGGTTTTATAGAATTTTTTTGCCATCCTAACATATATATATATATATATATATACTCATGATGATCAAAATCATGAATGATTGTCGTCATTTTTGTAAAACTGTTCCGGTTTGTGGGCCCAAATTTTCGAACCAACATAGATAGGTTCACGTGCGGGGCCTGAGCTATTTAGAACGGGCTGCTATAGAGTTTGATAGACGCAAGCATAACTATTGCAGTTGGACGTGATCAAACACAGTCAAAGGTAGTATAGTAGATGTATTTGTAATTCGAATATAAATTTTTCTATTCTCATAATACGTTGTGGAGTAGATAATAAAGCTTAGTTTTTTACCTCTAGATTACAAATGATAAATAAATTGATTTGATTTCATGCATCCCATTGATAAACTCATCAACATTCTCTCGATTTTATGCAGTCATTTGCAAAGAAATATTCGCTCTTGCAAGAGGCTTTAGTTTCTTCTAATGTATCAATTACAAGTTTAGTTTTTTGTGTCCAAAATTGTAATCGAAAGAAAGTTTTCTAAGCAAAGAAGTGAAAGATAAAGAACATCAACATGCTCAAGCCTCTACCCAAATAGCGACAAATTTACAAGTAGCTTATAACTTTGAACAATCTTCTCATTAAATCATCACTCGGTAACGTGAAATCTTCGAAGAGAATCTCCTTTAAATTAGGTAAGGAGATCATATATGAGATGTGTAAATTCAAAGACCCTCTTAGCTTCAAGACAACCTTTGATATAGAATTCAGACAATAATATTCTAGTGACTTTACCTCACACAAATATCAACATGTTTAAAAATTTGCCATATTGCAGCACATGCAAGAGTTTTGATTGCAGAATCATTAAAATTGAAATTGCATTTAAAACGAAATTAAATGATTTTTGAGGCACATTTCGTAGCATAATTTGTCTAAGACTACACCTTGCAATTTCTACCGCAACGACTAATTCAAGAAGGATGTCAAGGACAGAGACAAAAATGTCCTTAAATCTGATGAGTTGTATAGAGTGGCCTCCACTTATTTTGTGTCCAGAAATGATAAAATATGGCAAAGAATAGCATCTCGTAAGTCACTAAACCCATTCGCAAAATCATCTCGAGTGGTTTTACGAGCCCCTTTGGGTTCTTTAGACATTCTTGCATCTTATAATAATTAGAGTTTATGCCGGCTGTAAACTTTAGGATCCAGTGGAATAAGTTGAGATGTGCGTGAGTTGGCCTGGACACCCACGGTCATAAAAAAAAGAAAAAAGAAAATAATAAAATAATAAATAGAGTTTATGAGAAGAATTTAACATGACTTTTGCTATTAGTAACACCATAATTCACTAATTTAATTGAAAAGAGTATATATATATATATATATATATATATATGGTTTCAAAAAGAGTGGTTTAGGCCCCGTTTAGTACACATTAATGTACTTAATGAGTGTCAATTTTGAAAGAAAAAGGGTCGAGTCCTTGCTCGCGTAAATTATAATGATCAACTTCACATACAATTTAAATTTCAACTCCTAAAATATGGAATTGGACTCTTTGTGGATACCAGTGTACGGGCAAACTCTTATTCCCTAATCTGTTGAGGCACATCCCTCGATTTACCTCCTTTACGATACTTTAGAGGCGGGACGGTGTGGCTGTCAACTTCATTTTCAAGTAAGTTGACGCTTCAAGCTCTATCAATACCTGCAAAGAAAGTAACAAAATGCTGAAATCCATTAAATGCAGACAAGTACCCATGCTGCCATAATGTAAGAAAAGGAAACTTTAGTAGTAAGTTTCATCCAAAAATGGAAGTTCGCATAACATATCATTTTGACACGTGTTAGCAAATAGTTATTTTTTGATTTTCTTTTTTCTCTCCCTTTTGACACCCCACGTGCTGTCCCCATTTCCCACACACGCAAATCTCTCACTCTATTGCAGAAACCCATTCGAATCGCTCTCTCTTAGATCATCCTCTCTTCTCTTCTCGCTTCTTAATTGCAGCCTTAACAGACGTGCAGTGGTAGCAATGAGCAAAAACAAAGGCGAAATAAGAAAATTGGAAGTCCACCTACATCAATTTTTATTTTTTAAACATTGCTGGCAGAACTCATATTAAAAAAAAATATAGGTAAAATTTATTGTTTCAACTATATTAATCATACTTTCTTTATCTTTGTAAACTATACATATTAACATACTTAAATTAGAGATGCATAGCTTTTGTTGACAAATAGATGCAAGTGGCTGCCTTGACTTCATAAATGATAACACACTCTTTGATCAAAATAACTCAATCACATAGATAAGTACAAGACGCACGTATCCAGTTTTCGCATGTAAGAAATCCCATTTTTGGACTAAACAATTTCAATATCAAGGACTCATGCATGTTTCTCCACTTCAACATATAGTAAATAAAACAATGCCTTAGTAAGATAATTTAGTCCATAATCCATGCCAATAAACAATGCCTTAAGTCCTAATTACACTTCTCCCACATGGGAAAAGTCTGAATACTAAATTCTACAAATTTTAGGATAGTTTCATTCTTCGTGGTCTCACTTTTGATTGAGTCTTGGGGGTTAGACGTTGGCGATCTTTGGCAAACTTTATACCTTTTTTTGAAAGTATGCACTATGACGAACGTATAGCTACAAATATCACTCAATCATCCAAGAAATGGCTACTCAACGACCAAGATTGAACACAAAAAGATTCAGCAATTCCAGATTTCGAGTTCAACTTCGGCATTAGTTTTGTCGTTACTTGGTGAGATGAAAAATATTCAATATCGATATTAAATCGCTGGTCCCGTAATGAATTTTAAAAATGAGCTAAGATTCAGAGTTAACTCTCAATTTACAAGTCGTAATCCTGTCCTCAAGCTGACTGTTCGATCATGAATGAAGTTGTCCAAAAATTCTAATTTCTAAGTTTTTGGTCCTTGAACCTATTTTGAGTTAAATCATGGATTATTAATTCCAACCCTTAATAATTTATTTAAACCATTATCTTCCAAATAAATTTAATTTAGTCCCATTAGTTTTTACAACTTCTAATTTCGATCAATTTAATCCCTATCATTTTCTTTTGGTCGAGCTTTGGAGGCTTAGACGTTGTCGATCTTTGGCAAATCGATTTTATTTTGATATTCTATTTTGGATGAAATGAGTAAATTGCATGGTATATGAACCATATAATTGTTGATAAGATTAACTGGCATCTGGTTCAAAATCAAGCATGACTCTCTATCAACAGAGTGGACCTTCAAACCGTGAGAATTGTGCTAGAAATATCTCACTCAAGTCTGATTGTGAAATGAGAAAAAAAAAGGAATAATACTATTTGTAGTTGCTGTTTATTATCGCAGTCGCCGTACATGGTAAATATGTATTGGTTAGTGATTAGATACATAAAACAATAAAAGATTATCCTATTAATGTATCAAATTAGTAACCACCATATGTATGCCACGTAAGATGACTACGACAGTGAACGACTGCTAATAATATTACTAAAAAAAGAAATTATTTTATTTAATATGAATAGCTTTAAACAACAGTTACTGAATTTGGACCCATCTGACCTTTTGTCCATTTGAATGGATATCATCTGCTAAATGACAATCTATTTACTGTGCCTACCCTAACGCGACCGCAGACGACTCATTTCCGGGGTCACTAGAAACAAAACGATAATTGACGCAAATGGCCTCTAACCTATGAAGTTGCAGTGCAAATAATCCGCAGCACAACGATCTGCGTCAATTTTCTGAAATAAACTACAAGAAAATAGAAAAATATGGTATTAGATCACATAGAACAGGCCCTTGTATGCAGACTATTCTCGACTAAGTTATAGGATATATTGAAAATAAATTAGGCACTTCATCGTGTGACATTAACTTATTTATGATATTAAATTTCGACGGTTGGTGAAATTCGGCACTACATGATCATCTCTATTTCCCCCCTAATGCAAACAAGTAAACCCTGAAAGGTCGAGGATAAGGTAGACCAAGTCAAGACGTACTCTACTTACCTCAAATAGCAAATCTCTCTCTCTCTCTCTCTCTTTTCTGTCCAGATTTTAGCTATAAATAGAGGCTTGACACACCAAAATACTCATTAAGAAAAAGTATAAGAAAATTCTTGGAGAGAAAAATGGGCTCCAAGACAATTACTTTTTGCATTTTCTTGGCTGTAGTTCTTCTGATTACATCAAAAGCGACAGCAGATCATCGTAAGTTCTGTGTTTTATAAATTTGTTTTATGATGAGCATAAATTAATATAGTATACATGTATTAATGGCTAACATGAATTGTGTTAATGTTTTTGTGAATAAGAGTATTGGCCAGGACCTGGAGGTTGGTGGCCTGGCTATCCAGGAGGCTATCCAGGAGGCTATCCTGGAGGTGGAGGTTATCCTGCAGGCTATACAAAAGGAGGTTCGTCCGGAGGTGGAGGAGGCAGCAAGAATGCTGGTGGAATGAGGGATGCACAACCTTAAATTAAGCCTCCAAGCTGAATCTAGCTCGACAAAGTGTAGCATTTACGCGTTATATATACAACTTCGTGGATGAATATGATGCCAATAAATATGTAAATTTAGAAGTGGTTTGAGAGTGTAATGTTGTATAATGTTTGCTGTCTTAATTATGTAATGTGCACTAGCATATATTGAATAATGATGAAGTTAAATATGTTGGAGTATGAATGAAGAAATTATATCGTCTCTCTTGAAATGATATAGAAGGAAGAAATTAGAACAAAATTTGAATTTCATAAGGTGGTTGAGTTAAAAGATATTATCTTTTAACTTCTTTTGGAAATAGTCGTGCCTTTTAATTTGAATAATTTTTCTTTGCCAAAACTTGTATCCCTTCTCCAATTAGTTTAATCCTTTCTTGTTTCCTAACTTATTCATGAAAAAGATTCTCACATTTTCTTGGAAAATTTGTTATAGGGACATTCCACATTCCGTAAAGTGTGTTTAACACAATGACAAATTCGAAGTTATTTTCATCGATTCGCTGTTATGTGTTTGCTAGTATATGTATTTCAGCGTCAACTAGTTACTATAATTTTCATTTAATAGAAATCATTTACATACTCCTAATAAGTGTAAAATTTACACTTATCTAAGCCACGAAATGGGCATTTGTTAGTATTATTGTGAATTTGATACTTAATTATTTGTGTTTGGATTATGTTAGGAGAAAACTCGGGATCAAAGCAAATATTGATCAAGAAATACGAAATTGAATAAAATTTGCTGCTTTGGGGGATCAAATTTCACTCTTTAGAAATTGAAGGGCTTAAATTGAATTAAAGAGGACATGGATTGCACAAATTAATTTTTATCAAGAACTAAATTACAGTATTTGGAAGAAATGAGCCCTTGAGAGAAATAATACATTAATTGGGGGCCTTGACCCAATTGTTAAAGTGGAATGAAGTCTATCCCACTTGGTCCTCATTTTGTGGAAATGAAAATGGGTAGAATATATATATTTTTTTAATGTGTGGTTGAAAAAGAATATGTTTTTAATTTATGTGTAATATTATTTTACGAAAGATTGTGTGGTTGAAAATAGGAGAGAAAAAAATGAAATGTAATGAAGTGGAAATTAATGGGGGGCCAAACAGAAGCTAAATGGACTTGGACTCCCTGGTGGCAGATTACACAGATTGGAAGGAAAAAATAAAGAGGAAATTTCATAGTTCTATCAACAATAACCTAATTTCAATGTTGGGATAGAAAAAAATAGCCAAACCCGATACCTAAGGCCCCGTCTCAAATGGGATGGTGATTACTTGCTTAATCGGGGGTATTCGAGGCGGGGAATTCCGCCCCGTTATCCGTACTTGCCCCCGCCCCATTAATTTTTATTTAGTTTTTGTTTTGTTAAGAATTCAATGTTTTAAATGGAAAACTCCATGAAATTTCATTAATTTTTATAGAAGACGACTATCTTTTAACAAAATTAATACGATGGTTAGTTTATGTAAATCTGAAACGAAACTCTATAATCAATCAAAATTTTAAGAAAAATAATGATTAATTCAAGAGAACAAAAAATTGAAACCAGAATTCATAGAAACAGAAAACACATGGTTACATAAAGTACAATAAACATATACCTACATAAAAATTAGAGAGATGAGACAGAGAAATGAAAAAATATAAAAAAAAAGGAGAAATATTAACAAAATAAAAATTAATTTCTGATTGTAAGTTAACAAATTCTCACAACAGCTTAATTTTAACTTTTCATCACACAACCTACCCATCCCTAAAAGACAACAAAAATCATATTTTTCTCCCAAAACGAAGAATAAGTATAGCATGTGATCTACTCAAGGCTTTTCTTAACATAATTAGACACGTCCTCCATTGCAATCAGTCAAAAACTCATATAACCAAACCATTCACGCCATCAGATGTTCATAAAAACCAAGTAATCACTTCTAAACAATAACTCAATGAATAACACCCCAGTAAAATAAATTTCAAATTCATTTTTTCATAAAACTGCAAAATCCATATGTCAAAACAAACAACAATTTTCTGATAAGATCAAATTGAAAAAACCCAACAATTTTCCTCTTTACCTGACTGACAACAAAATAAGCTGAGAGGAAGTTTATAAACCCAAAATGATTTTCAACAAGATCTGCGAGAATCCATAATTACATATCACTTGTACAAAATATATGTACCATAAATACAAACAGATATATAATATCTAAATGTCAAAAATGAACTTGGAACAAAAAAGCTGCAAAAAAAAAAAAAAATGAAAAAAAAAAGCTCCATATAGACCTGAGTTTTCCTCAAATTATGCTATAATCTGATCCTGCACCAACTCCAACCTCTTTGGGAAAACCTCCAATTCCAACATTTGCTGCTTCCTTCATTTCTCATCAGTGAACCTCTCCCTACCTATCACTCCACTAAAACCTAAAGGCATAGTGTTGGGAATTTATGGTTGATTTTTAAAAAGATTTGAAATCAAAACAAACATCACACACAAAGAATCATAAAATGAACACAAGAACACCAAAAATATTGACCTGGTTCAACAAAAATAGGCCTAATTTGGGGGGCTCAGGGATAGCCCATTCCACTATAACATAATCTACCGTCCAAGAGAGTAAGAGTACATCAATAACCACTCAAACCACAATGTTTCACTCAGTGATCGAATCGATCTCATGAAACATTCTCAAATTGATCAAACAAATCAACCAAACATTTTTGGAGTTTAACAATACAAGATCAGCCAATATTTCAGGCCTGACTGTACACGAGACCTACAAACTCCATTTGATCAATCATATAAACCTTACAAATAGAGAAGAAAAATTTTAGACCTAAAAAGACGAAGAAGAGAGAAAACCAGAAGAGAGAAGATGAAAAATCTGAAGTATCAAAAAGTCTCGTAACTTTTGTCCGAGAAAAAGAACGCTTCATTTTCCAAGGCATCTTCTCAACCCTTGATTAAATCCAACGGTCCAGAAAGGGTCTAAACTAGCGCAGTCCGAGTGAACATCAACCGGCCAACCAGTATTTGCCAATCAGGAATGTTCATTTAAATAGGTGAAATAGACCAATTGACAGAAATAGCACTCTTTTAGAGTGTTTGAAGAAACACAAATGTTCACGTTCTTCACCTTGATTCTCAACAGCACTCGTTCTCTGGTTGCTGAAAGTGCCCGTGGAACTACTATCCATCATCATTTCCCTAAGACCTGCAAAAGAAAATTAACCTGTGTCAATATAAAGCAAGAGTAAACATATTTTAAACTTACATATGGGCAAAACTTTGGTCCCCATATGAGAAGGATTTTTATCGATACGAACTTTAGTCAATTTAACTTTTCCTTGAGATAGTTGTTCTCTTTTAAAATGATACTTCATCTCAATATATTTTGATCTTTCATGATAGACAGGATTTTCACAAAGTAATAGAGCACTCTAGCTATTTGTATATATAACAAGAGTATGATTCATAACGTTCAGTTCTTTTAAAATCTCCCTTAACAAAATACATTCTTTCACAGCTTCAATTATGGCTACATACTCAGCTTCCGTCCTAGACAATGTAACTAATGGTTGCAATTGAGATTTTCAAGTTATGCAACTTTTCCTAAGAGTACAAAAAAAAAAAGAAAAAAAAAAGAAAAGAAGAAGAAGCTATAGTTGATTTCCTACTGTCTTTGTCATCAGCAAAGTCAGCATTTACATAACCTTTTAGGGTTACATTTTCAAATCTTTTCTCATAAACTAGTTCTAGATTTAATGTAACAACAATATATCTAAGCAACCATTTCATTCCTGCCTAATGAGCCTTGTCAGGGTTGGACATAAATCTATTTAAGAATCTGATTGCATAAGCAAGGTCAGGTATGGTGGTTATCATTGAAAACATTACAGAGCCTATTGCATTTACATAGGGTATGTTTTCCATTTCCTTTACTTCTTCAGATTTAGGGGACTGAGATTTAGATAGGTTCATGTGGTCTGCAAGGGGTACATTAACAAATTTACTATCTTTCATTCCAAACCTGGTTACTAATTTGTTTAGATATATTTCTTGTGTAATTGTTAGTCTATTTTCAAGTCCATTCCTCTTTATAACCATTCCTAAGATTTTTCTAGCACATTCTAAGTCTTTCATATCAAATTCATATTTCAAAAGATCCTTTAATCTTGTAATTTGAGACTTATCAGGACTAGCCAGAAGCATATCATCCACATACAATAGTAAGTAAACTTCACCACCACTTTTCAGGTTGTTATAGTACAAGCAAGCATCAAATTCACTTCTTAATACATATGCATCAAACCTTTTTTACCATTGTCTAGGACTTTGTTTCAGTTCATACAATGATTTTTCAAGTTTTCATACATAATCAATCTTGCCCTTAATCTCAAAATCTTGAGGTTGGCTCATGAAGATATCCTCTTCTAATTTTCCATGGAAGAAGGCGATTTTCACATCAAGTTGTTCAAGTTCCCAATTATATTTGAGAACTAGTGCTAGTATCAATCTGATGATTTTATATTTGATTACGGGTAAGAATATCTTATTGTAATCAACCCCTTCTTTCTAAGTATACCCCTTTGCCACTAGTCTAGTCTTAAACCTAAAAATATTAGTTGGGCTATTGCCCTCTTTAAGTTTGTGAATCCATTTACATTGTACTACCCTATGATCCTTTAGTTTTCTAACAAGCTTCCAAGTTTTATTTTCATTTAAGGACTGCATCTCCCCTCTCACGGCCTTTATCCAATTTTCAGAATTTTTCCCATGAATTGCTTCTTCATAAGAGGCAAGTTCAGCTTGTTCTATTTTTTCTTTAGAGACTAAGGCAAAGTCTATTAGATTTAATAGTTCATACCTAGGAT